CCAAAAGATATTTATAAGTCCAGTGCAAACCTGTTAACATAAAAGTAAATTTATTTCAAAGATACAACTTAAGACTAACCCAGCAAAACATATATCGTAATAAATAATCATCTATTGCATATTATATTATCTGACCAGCAAATCTCTGAGAGGACTACACTCACATTTTCCCTACAAAGATTTCTTAGGGATTGACACAATAAACCCATCAGTCATAAAGAAAATTAAAAAATTGGGCATAGCTCCCGCGTGCCGGGCTACCTGCCCGGTCAAGGGAGCATAACCGCTCAATTTCTTCAACCCCCCAACCCATGAGTCACAAGGACAACTGCCACATGTATGCAATGACTCCCCCATTCCCCAAATAATATGATCACAAATATCAACTTACTTGCAACAAATGTGTCTCTAATTGGTCTTAATAGAACAGCACATATTATTACATTATAGACATACATTTTTTTTTAAAAACAGTAATATTCATCAGAATACTCATGCCATAATAATATAGTCTTAAGAAAATACTATCTTCTGTTGTTTGTTTACAGTGTCACAACAGATCTAATTACCAAATCTTTGCATAGATACATTAAAACAACAAGAAGCATTGCACATTGGATAACTAGTAAATGTTTTTTAACTTCTAACTCCCAACTTTGAGGATCATTTGTATGTTAGTTTTCATTTTTGAGCAGATTAAAAGAAAAGTTAATTGGACTATATTTAGACATGACCAATTTCAGAACAAAACTTTACCTTCTCTTACAGTGTAACAATATTCAAATAAAAAAATAACGAATGATAATTGGACAGCAACAGTAACTTACCTTGTATAGACCTTGGTTCATTGATGAAATTTCATATGTAGCTGTGCATGACAAGAAATAGTAGACCTCTGTCAACCAGTGCTGAGACCTGTCCCATGCTGCTGCCACCTTGACTGTGCTAAAAATAGCATGTGGCTACTACTAGCCTGCAACTTGTTCCACAATATGTAATTAGCTGGCAGCAGCAGGGCACTAACTAAAAGTGGCTATAAATGTTAAAAGCTGTGAAATTAACTTTGCTATCACATAAAATCATGTTAAACACATTAATGTGTAATGTTTGGTATATGTGACACTTTGCCCCCCCAAGTGGTACCAAAAACATATTGGGACCAAGGACTATATGTTATAGGACCAAACTTAACACAACAAAGACTGACAGACAGTCACAACCTTAAAGTACCGTGAGTACATGCCCATTCAAAGTTGACTCCGAGATAACGACAGTAACCACGAACGTGATCAGTATTGTGTGTCCTCCGCATGTAGCAGGTAGTAGAGTTGCTATCAACTATTTAAATGTGAATAACATATTATCGCCAACCCAAGCTGGATTTCGTAAAGGATTTTCTACAATTGACGATATTTTGGTTTTGAATATCCAAATAAATATACTAAAAAATAATAAAGAAAAATTGTATTTTGTATTCATTGACTTTTCAAAAGCTTTTGATAATGTCTGGAGGGTGGGTCTCTGGTCAAAATTATTAAATTCTGGAATTACGGGTAATTTTTTAACATCAGTTAAAAACATGTATAGTGATATTAAGTCATGTGTTCAAACAGGCAAACACACTTCTAACTTCTTCCCAAGTTACTCTGGAGTTCGCCAGGGAGAAAATTTATCTCCCCTACTATTTTCAATATTCATTAACGACCTCGAACCGTGGTTGATAGAAAACTGTTGTCAAGGTGTCAAGTTAACGCTGTCAGAGGAAAAAATTACTCTCTGTGTACAGCTCCTGTTACTGCTGTACGCTGATGACATAGTTCTATTTGGTACCGATCCTGGATCTCTGCAATTTTCTTTAAATTTTAACTCACTCTTATAATACTGTCGAAAATGGAAATTAACATTTAACATGTCTAAAACTAAAGTTGTTGTTTTTGGCAGTGGTACTGCAAAGAGAAAACTCGCCCCCTTCATTTTCGACAATAAAGAATTAGAAACGGTAGACTTCTATGATTATTTAGGAATAAAATTAAATAAAAATAGGAAATTTGGACGTGCCATCAAAACCTTAACCGAGAATGCCACAAAAAGTATGTACTGTCTCCTGAAGAAAGTCCGAAGTATCAATATGGGCATGGTGTTACCAATCTTACTGTAACGCGCCGAAGTGTGGGGATTTGAATGTTTCAATATGGTTGAAAAAGTTCATTTAAAATTCCTTAAATTAGCGGCTGGTTTGAAATTATCAACTCCTCCTTTCATGGTCCATGGCGAATTAGGCAGGACCACCCTTAATATTAGAGTAGCTAAGGTGAGGTGAAATGGGGTTTAACGTCGCGTCCAAGATTATTGCACATATATAGCGACGTGCATGCACGTGTATGTGTGTGTGGCTGCTTGTACTAGTCCGGACTGATGCCGATTTATAGTGCTAGCACACTGAGATACCATGCCGCAGTTTAACATTGATACCCCACTCAGACACAGTATACTGACTCCGAGCCGACCAGTCCTTGTTTTAGCCCCTTAATGCCGAGCGCCAGACAGGGTAACAACAAGTACCATCTTTTAACGTATTTTGGTATGACGCGGTCGGGGATCGAACCCCGGACCTTCCGCTCTCCGGGCGGATGCTCTACCACTAGACCACGGAGGCGGTAGAGAAAGATTATTGTTTTTTTAACCAATTAACGTGGAGGTTCTTCTTGATAGCATTGTATTGTGCACTTTTCCACACATTTATTTGTCTAATGATCCTCTTGTGAAGCATGTCAAAAGTCTTGTGAAGAGTGTTTTTTTACTCTGAATCTTAATGCACATATCTAAACAGGAAAATGATGAAGCGGTCTCACTGGACTCCTTTATTTCTAGTTCAGGGGGATGAATCAGTGGAAGGGAATTGGCTATTTGATGGTTATTGTACGATATCAGATCACCGATATACATGAAGTGTAGCCAAATTCCCTTTGATTTGACTTGGCCAATCCGAGCAGAAATTCTGATTCATATAATTATGCATAACGAAACACCCCTTTACACTAAGGTATTGTGTCATCTGAACAAATGCATGTTTGCAAACTTGTTACAAAAAGTTATAATGTTAGTCCATATGTTACGCCTCCACAGTATCATAGGCTCCTTTTAATATAAATATATGTACTGTGCACCACTGTGAGTAGTTTGTAGTAAAATCAGAACATCAACAAGAATTAGCGACTTATTTGATTGCTTTCAGCACTTCTCGAGTGGCATCCATCCAAAGTTTGCCAGTGAATGGTCGTCCAAAAATGCAGATGTCCCATAACAGACATAACAATATTTGAAGGTTTTCAATAGCTTTGGAATTTCCAGTGGTTCAAAACCCGTCCTTAATACACTTCTTCCTTTGTCGGAGGACCAATAATTAGAAGTGCAAACAAATATTTTCATAATCATAATATATATCAACTAAAAGCTTGCTCAATTGCTTGATTCCGACTTTATCATAACCATTTGTTTATGAATCACTGTCAGTAGTGATGTTACCAGGTGTTAGCCTAAATGTGAGTGTATCCTGCTACATCTATGAATCCATCGCAAAAACATGCAAGGGTAAGTGACTGATTTCAGTTAAATGTAATTAGTACTGCTCAAAGCATCATTACGTCTATATTCCTTTGCTTACACTATTTTGAATTGCGCCGCGATTCGCTGTGTTGCGTTCCTTGGGCACGCCAGAAACCTATGATTGTGGGTTCGACCCGATTATGTTTCTCGGTTTGTCAACACCATACCTGGGCTCGTGGGTTTCCCCGTGGGTTAGTTATCTTTAGTTTCTTCAGAACGCATTTAAATAATCGCACCGTTCATGTTTTTACAGAGACATTCATCATCATCGGGGAACACGCCACTCGATGCTAAACCATAACACTATTACACTACACCCTAAATGCCCAATAGGGGGCACGGGTGGCCTAGTCGTCTAAGGCGCCGCGATTCGCTGTGCAGAGTTGCGTCCCTTGGGCACGCCAGAAACCTATGATTGTGGGTTCGAATCCCAGTTCGCCCCGATTATGTTTCTAGATTTGTCAGCACCATACCCGTGCTCGTGGGTTTCACCGAACTGGTAAGCGTCTGAGACCTGCATCACTTCGGCCTTTCTTCCCTCATTAAGCTGACACGCCGCGAAATAACTGGAATAATGTTAAAAGCGGCGTTAAAGCCACTCACTCACTCACTATTATGAATTGACTTACAATTTGAGTGAGTTCGTTGGAGCATGAACCTTCGTGAAGTGAAAGCCAAACTGTATAAATGTTGGAGCATGCAACCAAACTCAATTATTTTAATTATTTATATCCCTTTTTAACTTTCTATACTTATATTAATGTTAACTTAATTTAGTATGTTAGACTTCCTGTGCTACACTACGGACATGCAACATCCAGTTTTATCGAAGAAAATATACTTCGTGAGAACGAAAGATGACATGAGCGTATGCTCAAAATGCTCGACAGTACCATGTTATGTAGCTCAGTTACAAACAGATTTCAACGATATCATCATTAGATTAAAGATGTCTCGTAAGAACTATCTCAGTAAATAGGTCACAGTGACTGCCTCTTAATACATTACCAGGACGTCAAACTGGCCGACACGATCTCATAGTGACGGGGAAAATATCCAATTTCCGTTATTAATGGTCAACCGGCCGATCATCCTAAGTTTATCATAAAGATGTGTCGAAAAGATATTGAAGTAAATTCTTAGACTGCTCCAGGATGTTGTTGACTATCACTGTCATTCTAGTCGGATGCAATACAGAGTTCGTTATTGTAACCAGGATGGGTCGTAGTGAGGATATTGGATCACGGGCATACTGTCAAACACACTGACATATTCAAATGTTTGCAAAAATGCTCAAGACTGAGTTTTCCAACCAGCAACAAATCCGCATATCATGTAAACTAAACTTTTTAAAAACTATTTGTAGAATAAAACACAACACAGTTTTTACTTACATTGTAGTGGTGCCACTTTCCACTGTAGCAGATTCCTGTCAGAAACATCTCACGGTGAAGCATACACATGTCATCAGTTGCAGACACGCTGAAAGCCACACATCTTGTGTCTGTGGCACACTGTACAGCACATGAGGCAACGCTATGTATGTTGTCAACTACAGTTTCATTTACGGGAGAGACGAACTGAGTACACTCAGAATACGGTTTGACAGAGATACTCCTGGTATGATCTTCAGCACTAGTTTTGTAATGAAGGAACAATGTGACAATAGCGAGCATGGATACGGCGGCCATTTCTCTTGTAGGAATGAGTGTGTTACTCTGCCACCTGTGATATTAGCAGTAGTGTTCATCGATTCACAATTACAAAGCAGAGAGATAATATAATGATATGACATGAGACGATGATTATATGGGAACGCCCTCAAACTTAACAGACACTGAGGTCATTTATACACATATATCTCACAAACTGCTTCAGCGACAAACTATTTAACATAGGGCAAACACATGTTGTTATTAAACATCCTCAAGGGAATGCCATAAGGTTTTATCTAAATATGTTTGCAAAAATACTTGTGTGTGTTCTTTCACCTACATGTATGTAAGTGTTCTTTTTACTGACAACCGAGACTTTATCGACTTGAGTGAGTGTGTGAGTTGGGTTTAACGCCGCTTTTAACAGTATTCCAGTTATATCACGGTGTGTCAGCTTAATGTGGGTGGAAAGACCGAAGTGATGTATGTCTTAGACGTTTACCACTTCGGTGAAACCCACGAGCCCGGGTATGGTGCTGACAAACCTAGAAACATAATTCAAACCCACAATCATGGGTTTCTGGCGTGCCAAAGGGACGCAACGCCGCACAACGAATCGCGGCGCCTTAGACGACTAGGCCACCCGTGCCCCCTTCATTGATTTGATAAATTTCGCCGTCAATCAAACAGTCTGTTTTTTACAAACACGTTGGGTTTGTTCCACATATTGTTCATAGCACTACTACTTATGCAATTCTGTATGCATTTGGAGATACGGTCAAAATGTATGTATGTCCGGCGTAATTTCCGAGAAAATACTCAAAGACCCTGCATATAAAACCATGCCTAGCTGAAAAGGAGACACGATTTAAATGATGATGTTTAATTGTTGTTAGCTGCCAAACAAACATCGTCAAGCGTGACCACTGTCCGGTACAAGGGACACAAAACTTTCGCATTTAAAAATTCACTGTCCGAAACCGGAAACCAGATTTCCGGATAAAAGAAGCATTTATGTAGTACATATTTCGTGGATATTTCGTGAATATAATCTGGTTAGTGAGTTTTCCGGGTATTCTGGGATCCGGATCAGCAGGGTTCAAATGTATATCAAACTACGAAAGTATTTTGGACAGGCGTGTTTGGACAGGGGCAAGTCATTAGAATTTTAGAGAAGCTCCATGATGTTTACATGTGACATATTTGGCCAAGTATCTTTCTGAACATCGCCGGTGGCCAGAGGGATGGTGTAAATCCTGCCGGGGTACCATGTAGGTAGCAGAAGTACCGTAAGTCCCCATGGTCCCTATAGCTAGTATGGTGGCCTAACTTTGGTTGCTGGCGATCTACAGCCCGTTTTTATATTGTATCGTCTGTTATTATCTGATTATTTAATTGTTCTAAAACTAGTTTTACAATTATAATCTGTGATAAATTGCTAGTTGTTGCACTGTCCTTTGACGACAGATCTTAATATATCATATAAATACACGATATGGCTGAAATAATGCTGATGTGACTTTAAATATTAACTCACTCACTCACTGTTTGGCCAAGTGCACCGGACGTAACAGTAACAAGACAAAGCTTTCACAAAGTAATAATCGTCACAGATATCATATTCGGTTATAGGCAGAAGACGTTTTCAGAGTGTCGTATCCACTGTAGCTATGCTCCGTTTATTTGAGCAGTCCTCCTTTTTGTAACGGCTCATGTACACAGTTTATTTCTGGGTAATACACGCCTGGGAGAAACACGTGTGTTGTGTTGTATGTGGAGTGTTGAGGTGACGCCACTGTCAAAAATACAAGTTTCAGAATATCCTAACTTGTGACGTAATATAATTATGCCCACAATCCAGGAAATGCTTATGTATTGTCGCCGGCGACAGGCAATTCCAAAGGCTAATTACCCCGTAGCCATAACTTAATTGCCATTATTTATAAGACGCTAATGCCAGTTGTTAATCCTCACGTTGTTAATCAGCCAAAACGCATCACGGCAACGGCCATGGTAACCCGATGCACGCGAGTTCTGTGCAAATTGAAATGCACATGCTATCCCCCATTTCTTGCCCTTAAAAAATCCATCCAGATCGGATAACATTCATTCGTTATTGTATTGCTACCACATGCCAAGATTGACAAGAAATCAGCGACACCAAGCCCTTGGACGATTGGAAGCTGGACAAAGTGCCCGGCAAGTAGCCAATGCATTTGAAGTCCACGAAAGGACCATATACAGGCTCCAGCAACGGTGCCAGACCACCAACACTACAGATGACCGACCACGTAGTGGAAGACCAAGGGTCACCACCCGATTTCAGGATCGTCAGATTGTGCGCCAGCATATTTAAGATCGCTTTGTTACTGCTGCAGAAACTGCTCGACAGACCATGGGCACACACCAGCGACACATTAGTGCGGACACCGTGTGTCGACGATTGAAGAGCAGACACCTCCACTGCCACAGGCCACAGCGAGGACCCATTCTGACACCACGTCATCGCCGGGACCGTCTTCAGTTGGCAACACAGCACCAGCATTGGCGCCACCAGCAGTGGAGAAGAGTCCTCTTTTCAGACGAGATCCGTAACTGTATCTCAACATCAGAAGGCAGAGAGAGAGTCTGGCGACGCCGTGAGGAATGTTATTCGGATGTTTGTGTTGTTGAGAGAGACTCGTGGGGTGGTCCGAGCATTATGGTGTGGGGTGGAATTGGTCTTGCACAGAGTTCGGCCCTGTGGTCTTCCATAACATCGATCCAGGGAGAGGCAACGGTGTCACAGCACCATCAGGCTTCACTACATGCTAAAATTCGTATCAATTTATGGTTCCGTGTTTGTTACCTATTTGCTTAAAACCACTTGCGTTTCTTTTGCGTGTGAGTATAGTTTCGAATTCCAAGTGGGGAAGGGATCAGAAAACCCTTCTCCAACTGTACAGAGCACTCATCCGCTCTAAACTGGATTACGGCTCCATCGTCTATTGTGGGGCCTGTGTGAGTAATTTGAAAAAAACCTCGATTCTATTCACCCCCAAGACTTGAAGCTTCGCCTTGGGAGTCTTTCGAACATCCCCTACTGACAGTTTAGATGTGGAGGCCGATGAGCCTATAACTATATTATATTCCAACCAATCTAACCCAGCATTTGACTGTGTATTTAACCCGCTTAACGAAAAGAAATAATCGCTTGTCCCACCTCTGGGAATAGGAATTAAACCATATGTTGCTACTGCGCCAAAATAAATCTTTACACAATAGCTCCAACCCAGCTTCATGCTTCTCCTCCCTGGTAGACCTAACTTTAACTAAAATTCAAAAATCTGTAAAAAATCAACTTATTTGTCAACAAGACTTTAATGAATTAAGAAACACATATGATACTTACAAATCTATATTTACCGATTGATCCAAGGATGGTGACGCAGTTTTTGCTAGTGCCACTATCATTGGATCCAGAACAATATCTTCAAGCTTAAGATGACAGCTCCATTTTCACTGCAGAAGCGAATGGCATTTTAACAACTCTAAAATATGTCAATAACCAATCCAAATATCAATAAACCATAATTATTTTTTCAGATTCTCTTTCGTGCCTTCAGGCAATTACAAATATGTCATGTAAGCATCCACTTATACTCCAAATCGTTGAAGTTCATAATGATCATGCCGCTGGCAAATGCGACATCGTATTTTGTTTGTTACCATTGGTAACACAATGGCCGATGCTGCTGCAAAAGCAGCACTCAACAGGTCTGTGACACCACTTCTGATCCCACTCAGTGATTAGTCTTCAGCAACCCATGCTTGCCATAAAAGGCGACTATGCATGTCGTAAGAGGCGACTAACGGGATCGGGTGGCCAGGCTCCCTTACTTGGTTGATACATGTCATCGTATCTCAATTGGTTGGTTGGTTTGTTGTTTTACGTCGCTCTCAGCAATGTTCCAGGTATGTGACGACGCAATTGAGTTCGATGACATGCATCAACCAAGTCAGCGAGCCTGACCAACAGATCCGGTTAGTCGTTTCTTACGACAGGCATAGTCGCCTTTTATGGCAAGCATGGGTTGCTTAAGAGCTCCTCTACCCCGCATCTTCACGGGTACCATCACAAGGGATAAAAAGGGATAATTCAAAGTGTCATCTATAAAGGATCTTTATAATCAATTACAAGCTTGTTTAATCATCGGTTTTTTAAAAGAAATAGAATTAACTGATAAATTTAAAAGTTATATATTTTAAAAATTGGTAGTATATGATTACTAACTGAGATTGTTAGTGGCTGTATCCTCGACGGGGGTTGAAGTAGTCTCAAATTATTGTCCCCCTGTAAGCACCCATAAATCAAAGTATTTTTGTGTCTACCAGTGTTTTAATTGTAGTCTATTTGTCTTTAATCTCCGGCTAAACCATGTCAATTATCACCAGTGACTAAAGGGACGGTGTAAATCCTGCTGTGGTCCATGCAGGTAGCAAAGGTACTGTAAGTCCCCATGGTCCCGAGTATGGTGACCTCACTTTAATAGCACAATTGTATCTCTTGTCTTGTTATGAATAGTCATATTTTATGGTCATATACTAGTTTTAAACCTATATCTGTGATAATCCAGTTGTCGACAGGATTTTATACAATTTACATATATATATTATTAAAATCATTTTGTCTCGTCACGATATGGCTGAAATATTGCCGATGTGAGTTTAAATGTCAGCTCACACACTCAGTATTAATGTAAGTGCCCAGCCTTGCAGAAACAGTAGAATTTCGTAAAACATTTCAGATCGTATTTCAACCTTAAGCTGTCTCCTTGCGCTTCGCCATTGGCCTCCAAGACTTCGCGTTGACAAAAACGGCCTGAACATTACTGAATTTTTGTTATGTTTATGGACAATTAAATCACAGTGACCAAGTAATGACACAACAAAATAAAGTTTACAAAACTTTAATGCGGGAACTATAACATGTTTGTTGCGGTAATATTTCACATGACCATAGTCTAAGCCATTAGCATC